GGCCCCCGGGCGCCCCGTTTCAACCAGTTCAGGACAGGGGGAGAGCTCTAAATGGCCCAGGACCCACATCTTAGGACCCACCCATCACTGACAGTAAGTGGCTCAAGATGCATCCCAAATGGCACCCTATTCCCTATATAGTGCACTACTTTTCACCAGAGCTCTATGTGTACTGGTCAAAAGTAGTGCACTATATGGGGAATAGGGTGCTATTTGGGTCGCATGGTCAATCCTCAATCTTTTCATCCAGATAGCCCTTCTGAGAAGTCTAAAATTACACTATCAGACCACCTGTCCTCACCTGGGCATAAACATGGGGCTGCTTTCAAAATGGCACCCTGTTCTGTATGTAGTGCAAAACTTTTGACCAGGGATCTTTTGATCGGTGGTGCACTATAGAGAATAGGGTACCATTTGGGACAAACGCCTGAGTGTAATTTGAAGGAGGAATCCCCCATGCTTGAACTTGTAGCACTATAATAGGATATTCCCAACCTGGCCCCACATCTAAGAGTGGACATTCAACTACCCCAATTATAATGTAATGGGTGTGGGGCTAAGCTGGGCTCTTCATGAGGCCATGAGAGAAGCCAGTCTCCCAAATGGAACCCTATTCACTAGAGCTCTATGGGCCCTGGTCAAAAGTAGTGCACTGTACAGGGAATAGGGTGCCATTTGGGACACAGTGCCTTGACAGTCAGTCTCACTACTAACATCTGGACCTGTTAGTGTTGGCAGACTACTGATGTTACTAATGTCAGGGAGGAGGGGCGAGAGAGGAGAGAAGATGAGCGAGAGAGAGGGAAGGAGAGAGAGAGACGAGAGAGAAGTAGCGAGCGAGAGAGAGAGATCGAGAGAGGGAGAGAGAGAGAAGAGAGAGAGAGATGAGAGAGAGAGAGAGAGAGAGAGAGAGAGAGAGAGAGAGAGAGAGAGAGAGAGAGAGAGAGAGAGAGAGAGAGAGGAAGAAGGGAACAGATCAAGTTAAACAGTGCTTGCCAAGCCCAAAACAATGATGTTCCCTCACATAAATCTTGTTGTTTGTTCCAAACACCAAATAGTGCAAGCTAGTTTATCACAGTAAATCGGTTGAGTAGGTCTGGGAGAATGAGGAAATAGTGCAAGATAGTTTATCACAGTGAATCGGTTGAGTAGGTCTGGGAGAATGAGGAAAGCACCAGCGGAATCAGAATTGTTGAAACTCTCTGCTCAGAGGGTTCCACATGGGAACCCCATAGAACAGTTACCCAATGAGAATGAACCACCGAAGCAGCTATCTTGTGCTGCCCTCTAGCTTCAAGAAGAGGAACTGTCCATTTAGACACCAGCTAAATTGCCCAACTGTTGGTACATGTCTAGGATCAGTTTACTCACAAATCTTTAGCTTTACCATTACAAGGTAAAAACACAACACTGACTTTAAATCGATGTCAAAGGGTAATTCCATCAAATATCTTGCACCACTTCCATAGGCAGACACCCATTCAACAAGGCAGATGCATGCCATGTTTCCATCTGTTTCAAAGACAGATGGAAAATACAGAATAAATCAGAACGTCTCCATGGACGGTATACGCCTCCAGGGGAAATCCAGATGGAATGCCAGGTTGGAATCTAGAGCCTGCAGGTGCTGTGTTCTGTCCCAGAGAGTTCAGAAGTAGAATATGGTTATTATGTTGAGGTCAATTATTTGTCCACTATTGTAGCATACAAATGAGCCTAATGGCCTCCAGTGGATCTAAATGATAAGGACTCCCACAGTGCCTAAGGAAGGTGTTATAGGCGTACCATAGTTAGCTGCAGAAGATTGGATTTGATATAATCTGAAGGGTCACTTGTTCTAGGTCGGTAATGCCGTCACACCCTCACTCACCGATGAGATGACACCGGTGAGAGGATTATGAGATTCGTGCTTTGCCGCTCACCTGTATGGCGCATCCCCGTCTTACCTGGAAGAACCTTCGCTCGATAGGCCAAAATAAAAAATAAAATGTTAAGTTATGTACGTTTTAAAACGTTGCATTTCTATAGGCCCAATAGTCTTTGAGCTTGTATTTGAAATTTTGCTGTTGTTTTTACATTTTACATTTTAGTCATTTAGCAGACGCTCTTATCCAGAGCGATTTACAGTTAGTGAGTGCATACATTTATTTTATTTTTTTCATACTTTTTTTTTGTTTCGTTGGAGATGTAACTTGGATAAGTTTGACCGTGCTGGCACTTTCCTTTTCTGTGATAGGCCTACTTTTGTGCCTAGGAGCCATAGAGGAGAATTCAAGTAAGTCTAGTCCTCCTTCTCATCCTAGCATGGGTAAGTGCTGTATTATTATTTTTTAAACTCAGAAATAAAGGTGAGTTAAGAAGTTATTGTTGGCAATATTTCATAGGCTTAACACACAAAACAAACAGAAATATAATAAACATATGTGTTCTTTCTAATGACAAATAGCCTAGAATTGATGGATGCAAACATTAGATAAATGGTTATTTAAAACCTATAGCTAGGCCACAGACTTTTCCAAAGGTTCATATGAGATGCCTATGCAGGATGTGGAATATATATGATAAATCCACGGTCATATTTAGTCAGATAATCCTGAGCTTTAGTAGAGCCCTTTACAGCCTGTAGAATTACTGACATCAGTGTGAAATAATTTTAGCCAATTCATGAAAATGTAGAAACAGTGTGTTGAAAGAATGGTTAGACAGGTGATTTGTCAACTTGACATAATCTAATAGGGGTTGCTTTTAAGCACTTTCTGACAGATGGGTATGTGAATGCAATATCAACCCATTTTGATAAATGTATCATAATATATCTGAATTCTGATGGTCCTCCTATTGTCTCAGATTTTCAGGAATTTGGGGCCGACACGTTTATAATTTCTGTCGTCTAAGGACCTGTGACTGCAGTGACACGCGTGGAGCAGCGGCTTGGCGTGTGCAAAACGTGTGTTATCCTTGAGATGCGACCATCGCTCTGTGCGTTCCACAGCAAACCTCGGACATGGGCCGCGCACGGACACACAACCCCTGACCACCCTAAGGCACACCCCTTCCCCCTCTATATCTATTCTCCCCTCTTTTTTTCCATCCCTCGCTTCCTCCATTTCCCTCGCTATCGGTATGGTGTCCTTCGGTTCCTACTGCTAGCCGCCCTGTACCTTTGTCCCTTAGGACCCTCCCCTGCTCACGCTGCTCACTTCCGTGTCGGGGTGGTGGGGCCGTGGTCATGTGACCCTCTCTTTGCCAAGGCGCTGCCGAGCGTGGCTGCCCAGCTGGCGGTCAACCGTATCAACAGGTAGGGACGAGGTCAACACAAGTTTTTCAGAATGGATTAGTTGTTGGTTGCTAAGGCCGATTAGCTTATGAAATATGCTTACTTAAATTATGCAGAGGGAAAATGCCCCAAATACTTTGAATTCAGAACATAATCTTGTTTATTTAAACGTATCTGTCCAGCGATTAAAAATATCGATGAATGTTTTATTTATTTTGATTTCCCTAATTTTCAAATCGATATGGACGCCTTCCGATCAACTAATCGATGAATCTGTCTGGTATGTATCAACAGAGACCCTGTCCTCTCACTGGCGGCCACTTTTGATTATGTCATTCTGGAAGAGAAATGTGAGACTTCCAGGGCTCTGGATGGGTTCATGGGCTTCTATACCAGGTTTGTTGTAATGTACTTTACTTTTCTTTACAATATGTCAAAAAAATCCTGTTAGGGTGCTAGAGGGCGACTTGACGCGTCAATTCATGAATTCATGAATTCACTAGGGCTACAGGCTTCATCGGGCCAGCCAACCCTGGGTACTGTGATGCTGCATCACTACTGGGCAAGGGCTGGAACAAGGTGGGTGATGGTAGTAAATGTCTTGGATTCTATTCCATTCCATTCCATTCCATTCCATTCCATTCTATTCCATTTCATTCCATTCTATTCCATTCTATTCCATTCCATTCCATTCTATTCCATTCCATTCCATTCTATTCCATTCCATTCCATTCTATTCCATTCTATTCCATTCCATTCTATTCTATTCCATTCTATTCCATTCCATTCTATTCTTTCCTCTCCCCAGGCAGTGTTCTCGTGGGGGTGTGTTGGCTATGAGCTAGATGATACCCGGAGCCACCCTACCTTTGCCCACTCCATGCCCCGACCCACCTGGGTGCTGATCAGCCTCATGCAGCACTTCCGCTGGGCACAAGTTGGCATCATTGCCTCCTCAGAGGAAAGCTGGGTGGAGACCGCCAGCAAGGTACACACACACACACACACACACACACACACACACACACACACACACACACACACACACACACACACACACACACACGTGCATGTGACATTTGTGCATGTGACATTAAAACTTGAAACTTGAAACAAGAGGCGCTCTTTTGAAATGGGGAAGGATACAAGCTGAATGGAGTATACACTGTAGGTAGGCCTTTGTGAATTGACCATAACCATGTAGAAACCTTTTATGGGATGCCATAACCAACAGCGGTAATACTAAGACCAGCTTTCGGTTGGTCCTAAATATTCCCACCAGCGCATACTGAAATTGGCACTTTGGCGCACGTTTCTAAGCACACACTCAGATATTGTCACCCTTCCCACCTCAGTGCAAGCAAGCTCAGATAAAACAGGTAAATTACCAATCCTGGGTTTGAAAATAGAAGAGTGCAGGCTTTAACAGGTCAAAATTGCTAACAAGCATGAGTTTGACACTAACACCTGCCTTAACACGAGCCAAAAATAGAGCCTCTAATGTTTTATTATTATGATTATTATTATTATTATTATTATTATTATTATTATTATTGCTAGTATCAGTATTATTGTTGTTGTTGTTATGACTATTATTATTATTATTATTATTTCTGGTATTATTATTATTATTATTATAATGATTGTTATTGTTATTATAATTATTGATATTATAATTATTGTTATTGTTATTATTATTATTATTATTGCTAGTATCATTGTTACTATTATTATTATTGTTGTTGTTATTATTATTATTGCTAGCATAATTATTGTTATTATTGTTGTTGTTGTTATTGTTATTGTTGTTATTATTGTTATTATTATTATTATTGTTGTTATCATTATTATTAGTATTACTATTATTATTGTTATTGTTGTTATTATTGTTAGTATCGCTATTATTATTGTTGTTGTTATTATTATTGTAATTATTGTTATTATTATTATTGTTATTATCATTATTATAGTTGTTACTATTATTATTATTGTTATTATGTCATGTTTTTATACTGTAACTTTGACCATTAAGAACTATGAACTATGACCTCTGACCTTTCTGCAGGTGGCCAACTCTCTGAGGAGTCATGGGATGCCGGTGAGGCTGGTGGTTACCATCGGTAATGACCCCGGGAGTGTCAGGAAGACCCTGGCCAAGCTCAAGAAGGTGGATGACCTACGATGTGAGTACTGATATCATACACAGGGAGGAATACTACTTTGACTGTATATCTTTTGAAGGGAGGAAGCCACTTTACACTATTGAGAAAGACTTATGTTCAGTTTGAATTCTTCACAAAGTGTGATTGTTTGTGATATGTTGGAGCTCATACTTTAACATATTCAGTCAAGTCAAGTTCATTTCTTAGATTGGCAGTAAGCTATAGGCAGGTAGCCTGAAGTTAGAGCTTTGGGTGGCAGGTAGCTTAGTGGTTAAGAGCAATGTGCCAGTAACCGAAAGGTCGCTGGTTCTAATCCCCGAGCCGGCTAGGTGAAAAATCTGTCGATGTGCCCTTGAGCAAGGCACTTAACCCTAATTGCTCCTGTAAGTCGCTCTGGATAAGAGCGTCTGCTAAATGACTAAAATGTAATGGGCCAGTATCCAAAAGGACAAGGAATGGCAAGGTGAAAAACTGTAGTTGTGCCTGAGCAAGGCACTTAACCCCAATTTCTCCACTGGCGCTGGACAATCATGACTCCACTCCCTGCGGGTGTCTCAGGAGCAGTTGGGATATGCAAGACACATTTCCATTACACACGTGTGTAACAGGATTAATAATAATAATGATAAACTATTATTTTTCTTGCCACTTTTCCCCTTTATTCCCTCGTTACTCCCCCCCTAGTGGTGATCATGTGTATGCACTCTGCCCTGATCGGAGGGGGACCTCAGAAGCTCCTACTAGAAACAGCCCGGGACATGAGACTGACGGAGGGCTCCCTGGTGTTCCTACCCTACGACACCCTACTCTACAGCCTTCCCTACCACAACGTCACCTACCCTGCCCTGAGGAACAACAGCAAGCTACTCAAGGTGATCAGTCTTGGTGTTTTGTTGTTGTATACGCAGATGCGAGAGTATTCGTTGCATCGTCGTTATGTATTTTTCAGTTGAATTGTATGTGTGTACTGACACCCGTCTTGCACCAGCTCTCTATTCTGTTGCACATCTAATAACCATGACGACTAGTCTGACTTTAATGTCTGTCAAATCAAATGGATTCATTCGTTTAATTCAAAGGCCTACGATGCAGTGTTGACCATCACTATAGACTCTCCCAAGACATCTTTCTACCAGGCCTATCAGGAGGCTATAGACAGGGGAGAGATAGCGGGGAATGTCAAGCCACTACAGGTAAATACATACAGGGTGTGTGTGTGTGTGTGTGTGTGTGTGTGTGTGTGTGTGTGTTGTGTGTGTGTGTGTGTGTGTAAAAAGAGAGAGTATGAGGACAGTGGAGAGATACCTGGGGATGTTAAGTCACATGGTAAATACATGGAGAAACGGTTGTGTGTGGTATGATACGTTGAAAAATAAGAATACTTTCACAGTCCAACCAACCATCATTCTTTTGATTCTTGAAGTATTGCGAAAAACTGTCTGGACTGAAATTTGTACAAACATGGATCTGAATATGTTTACACCACATTATTTATGTGTTGTTCACCATCTTGAACTCCTTCTCTGCTCTCTCCATCTCACTTTCCCTCCCATCTTTCTTCTCCAGGTGTCTCCTCTGTTTGGAACCATCTACAGCTCTGTGCTGTTCATGGCCCATGCTGTCCACAGGGTCCAGGCCTCAGGGGAGTGGCTTTCTGGGGGGAACCTGGCCCGACACACCCACGACTTGGCCTTCCAGGTACATGGATGATTTAATCTACTGTGACTTATATGTATCAATACTGTATTCACTTTTGGGCACTGGCCAGCCGGGCTAGTTTGGTACATGGATGCTGATGGTTTAAAGGGGCAATCTGGGATTCAAACAACAAGAAAGTGGTTACCCCACCACTTTTTTTGGAAACAGCTTAGGCTTGATGGTGGAGAAATGCAACCACACATTTGTAGATGGAAATAAGGATGCAAGGACTGACCATCTATGATATCAACATGATAGTTTTAACCTTGTTTTCAAGGACTGACCATCCATGATATCAACCTGATAGTTTTAACCATTTTTGGAAGGACTGGCCATCCATGATATCAACATGATAGTTTTAACCATGTTTCCAAGGACTGACCATCCATGATATCAACCTGATAGTTTTAACCATTTTTGGAAGGACTGGCCATCCATGATATCAACATGATAGTTTTAACCTTGTTTTCAAGGACTGACCATCCATGATATCAACCTGATAGTTTTAACCATTTTTGGAAGGACTGGCCATCCATGATATCAACCTGATAGTTTAACCATTTTTGGAAGGACTGGCCATCCATGATATCAACCTGATAGTTTTAACCATGTTTTGGAAGGACTGGCCATCCATGATATCAACATGATAGTTTTAACCATTTTTGGAAGGACTGGCCATCCATGATATCAACCTGATAGTTTTAACCATGTTTGGAAGGACTGGCCATCCATGATATCAACCTGATAGTTTTAACCATGTTTGGAAGGACTGGCCATCCATGATATCAACCTGATAGTTTTAACCATGTTTGGAAGGACTGGCCATCCATGATATCAACCTGATAGTTTTAACCATTTTGGAAGGACTGGCCATCCATGATATCAACCTGATAGTTTTAACCATGTTTTGGAAGGACTGGCCCATCCATGATATCAACCTGATAGTTTTTAACCATTTTTGGAAGGGACTGGCCATCCATGATATCAACCTGATAGTTTTAACCATGTTTGGAAGGACTGGCCATCCATGATATCAACCTGATAGTTTTTAACCATTTTTGGAAGGACTGACCATCCATGATATCAACATGATAGTTTTAACCATTTTTGGAAGGACTGACCATCCATGATATCAACCTGATAGTTTTAACCATGTTTGGAAGGACTGGCCATCCATGATATCAACCTGATAGTTTTAACCATTTTTGGAAGGACTGGCCATCCATGATATCAACCTGATAGTTTTAACCATTTTTGGAAGGACTGGCCATCCATGATATCAACCTGATAGTTTTAACCATGTTTGGAAGGACTGGCCATCCATGATATCAACCTGATAGTTTTAACCATTTTTTGGAAGGACTGCCATCCATGATATCAACCTGATAGTTTTAACCAATTTTTGGAAGGACTGGCCATCCATGATATCAACTGATAGTTTTAACCTTTTTTGGGAAAGGGAATTGGCCATCCCATGATATCAAATGATATTTTTTAACCTTTAAACCTTCAGGCGTATATAAAAACTCAAAACTCTTTCAGGGCTTCAGCCACCCTGACAAAACACACACACACACCACACACACACACACAAACACACAACACACAACACACCACACACCACACACACACACAAAACCACAAAACTCCCTGTTCTGTGAACTCTTCCAGGGCTTCAGCCACCCTGTGAGGACCAACAGGTCTGGAGCCGGCCTGGCTGACTACGTAGTACTGGATACAGACGGAAAGACCTGGGACCTCAGACCCACACACAGGTAGGAAGAAGAAGAAGGGAGTGTGTGTGTGTGTGTGTGTGTGTGTGTGTGTGTGTGTGTGTGTGTGTGTGTGTGTGTGTGTGTGTGTGTGTGTGTGTGTGTGTGTGACCCTAACACTACTGCATCCGTACAGGACAGACATGTGGCTGACATGGTGAGGTTAGGATAAGGGTTATATGGTAACACAGTATGTTGATGATATTGGTGGTTAACACAGTGGTATCAACCTCATTTTGCCCCGGGTGCTGCATTCTGTCTTCAATGAGGTTACAGTGGGGGAAAAAAGTATTTAGTCAGCCACCAATTGTGCATGTTCTCCCACTTAAAAAGATGAGAGAGGCCTGTAATTTTCATCATAGGTACACGTCAACTATGACAGACAAATTTAGGAAAAAAAATCCAGAAAGTCACATTGTAGGGTTTTTTATGAATTTATTTGCAAATTATGGTGGAAAACAAGTATTTGGTCACCTACAAACAAGCAATATTTCTGGCTCTCACAGACCTGTAACTTCTTCTTTAAGAGGCTCCTCTGTCCTCCACTCGTTACCTGTATTAATGGCACCTGTTTGAACTTGTTATCAGTATAAAAGACACCTGTCCACAACCTCAAACAGTCACACTCCAAACTCCACTATGTCCAAGACCAAAGAGCTGTCAAAGGACACCAGAAACAAAATTGTAGACCTGCACCAGGCTGGGAAGACTGAATCTGCAATAGGTAAGCAGCTTGGTTTGAAGAAATCAACTGTGGGAGCAATTATTAGGAAATGGAAGACAAACAAGACCACTGATAATCTCCCTCGATCTGGGGCTCCACGCAAGATCTCACCCTGTGGGGTCAAAATGATCACAAGAACGGTGAGCAAAAATCCCAGAACCACACGGGGGGACCTAGTGAATGACCTGCAGAGAGCTGGGACCAAAGTAACAAAGGCTACCATCAGTAACACACTACACCGCCAGGGACTGAAATCCTTCAGTGCCAGACGTGTCCCCCAGTACATGTCCAGGCTTGTCTGAAGTTTTCTAGAGTGCATTTGGATGATCCAGAAGAGGATTGGGAGAATGTCATATGGTCAGATGAAACCAAAATATAACTTTTTGGTAAAAACTCAACTCGTTGTGTTTGGAGGACAAAGAATGCTGAGTTGCATCCAAAGAACACCATACCTACTGTGAAGCATGGGGGTGGAAACATCATGCTTTGGGGCTGTTTTTCTGCAAAGGGACCAGAACGACTGATCGGTGTAAAGGAAAGAATGAAAGGGGCCATGTATCGTGAGATTTTGAGTGAAAACCTCCTTCCATCAGCAAGGGCATTGAAGATGAAACGTGGCTGGGTCTTTCAGCATGACAAAGATCCCAAACACACCGCCCGGGCAACGAAGGAGTGGCTTCGTAAGAAGCATTTCAAGGTCCTGGAGTGGCCTAGCCAGTCTCCAGATCTCAACCCCATAGAAAATCTTTGGAGGGAGTTGAAAGTCTGTGTTGCCCAGCGACAGCCCCAAAACATCACTGCTCTAGAGGAGATCTGCATGGAGGAATGGGCCAAAATACCGGCAACAGTGTGTGAAAACCTTGTGAAGACTTACAGAAAACGTTTGACCTGTGTCATTGCCAACAAAGGGTATATAACAAAGTATTGAGAAACTTTTGTTATTGACCAAATACTTATTTTCCACCATAATTTGCAAATAAATTCATAAAAAATCCTACAATGTGATTTTCTGGATTTTTTTTCTCATTTTGTCTGTCATAGTTGACGTGTACCTATGATGGAAATTACAGGCCTCTCTCATCTTTTTAAGTGGGAGAACTTGCACAATTGGTGGCTGACTAAATACTTTTTTTCCCCACTGTATATTTCCTCACTGTCAATATTAGCGTCACCCCCAACTTGTGTTATGTAATGACATACCTGGACCACCTATTGTGATGTGCATTTTATTAAGTAAATGAGGTGAAAAGGAGACTGGAGAGCGACTTTAATCTAATCAAATCAAATGTTATTGGTCACATACACATATTTAGCAGATGTTATTGTGGGTGTAGCGAAATGCTTGTGTTCCTAGCTCCAACAGTGCAGTAGTATCTAACAATTCACAACAATACACACAAATCTAAAAGTAAAAGAATGGAATTAAGAAATATATAAATATTAGGCCGAGCAATGTCGGAGTGGCATTGACTAAAATACAGTAGAATAGAATACAGTATATACATATGAGATGAGTAAAGCAGTATGTAAACATTATTAAAGTGACTAGTGTTCCATTATTAAAGTGGCCAGTGATTCCAAGTCAAACTAACCCTTACAGGATAGAGATGGCTGCTGACATGGTGAGGTTCTTGGGTAGAGATATCCACTTCCCGCAAGGCATCTCCCCCAAGACTGACTCCAACTGTTGGTTCATCAAAGGCATCATCTGCACTGGAGGTACACACACACACACACACAGACACACACACACACACACACACACACACACACACACACACACACACACACACACATGCAGACATGCATAAAGCATGGTATTAGTAACAAAGTTATACTGTTTTTTTTTTCAATCACTTTGTTTGTGGTATATTTTCACTACTCTAAACAGAAAAATCTAAACAGATCATCAAAATGGCTTATTTCCAAAACACTAAGCACATTTTGAGTTGACTGAGTGCAACAAACGAATTCACTAAATTCACCAAAATCACTCTTTTAACTTGCAGTACCTGTTTTTCAAAATGCAATATTCACTTCACTTTTCAATATGATTTTCTTGTAATTTGTTAACAATACAATGAACTATCACTTAATCAAACTGATCAAAACGGATAACTACTGAACCAAAATGATGCAGTGCCTAATTAACGTGTATAGTTTGAGAACTGCTGAACGCTGTTACATTCTACATTGATACCTCACAAATGTATCAGTTTGACATCAATTTAGGTTGGAAGGTAAAACCAAATCATGTATGGATGTGGCTGTAAATACTACATTATCATTCTCCATCAGCCAGTGTGCTTCAATAGGACGAAGTGGAAAGAGTCACTATGTGCTACCATTACAGTGGTGTATAATGCACTGCTGAAATACCTGGGGTTATATAGAACAACATTCCACTCATTATCTGAATTTCATTGATACACTGTAAGCTGATGAATTTCTAGCAGAGAGACGGGCAGTACTGTATCAGTTGACAAATCACTTTAGAAAAGGTGATCTTGTACAATGTTGCATGGGGCTGAAATGGCATACAACACCGTGCTATGTTTTTACAGTAGCCAACTGCTTTACAATACCACTATTTCTGATTATTTGTCCTACGTATGTACTGTATAAGGATAATGAAACTGTAAGACTGACATATTTCTCAACATGCTCACAACCTGCCATTGGATACAAATTATGTAAAGAATTGTGCGTGTGAAGTTATAGTCAAATACTGTATGGAAAATTATATTTGTTTATTCAGCACTTCAAAAAGAACAGTTTAGAAATGTGTATCTTGTATTTTTTGCTATTGGATTTAATGGTAGTTAAAATGACTAAATGGTGAGCCTATCATTATCTGATGTATTGGTGACTAAACTAAATGTTCTCATGGTTTTCACGGAAAACGTTGATTTTGCATTAATGACTCAGGGGTGAAAGATGTGTGAAACTCCAATGAATGCAAAATCAAAGGTTCTGAACATAAGATAGGGGGCATTACAAGTGTTATCAGTTTAGAGTTTTGTACTTAGAGTTGTGAAAATACTTGTGAAAATAGCACCAAAACAATTTTTAAAATGCTGAAATGTTTTCCCCAGGTGTGGATCCGTTCTCTGCTGTTGGGATCTTCCTGGGATTCGTCCAGATGGGTTTCCTCTTGTTTATTCTAACCTACTGCATCAAGTAAAGCTCTACAACATGGTCTGCCTATATAGTCCTTCTCATACGCGTTTCACAATACATACTGGCCACAATTCCAAACGAATGGGAACGATAGTCACCGATTAACTCTTAACGTCTTAGGTGTCTGACCAGTTGAGTTGGGTTGAACTGTCCCTGAACTGTTAGCGTTGACTCCTAGAGTGAACGTGTAATGTAATCCTATTGGTTATGGTCTTAGTGAGGTCAAGCATCCATCATTTCTCTTTGTTTATGTCTCTGTCTCTTGATTTCTAGGCGACGCATCAACCACATCCGGTTGTTCCGGGGTCCCAACAAGATCCTGCTCACCCTTGACGACGTCACCTTTATCAACCCGTCCCTTAGCAACAAGGTCAGCAGTTATAGACCAATGCAGGAGTTAAATATTCAAATAGACAATTTAATTTTAAGAAAAAAAAATTGTAGCTTTTTCGTTTGAGCCTTTTCTATTTACAAAATGTGTTTGTTTTTGTATTTAAATTAAATGTACAGAGCGACAGACATAAACTTTTGGGGGCAGGGGTCCATGTTGTAGTGAAACTTAAACTAAGATGTCTGCTCTCTCTAACATTTCCAGAAGCTGAGTATAGACGACAGTAAGAGAAAGACCAGTGGAGTCTCTCTGAGGAGCCTATCACAGCACAGCCTCATGTCCCCCTTCTCTGACCGATCACCTGCTACCTACGAGAACTCCAACGTCGTCCTCTATGAGGTGAGACAGAGTAGAATGGGTGATTTATATTTTTTATTTACATTTTTTTTGTACTTTTACCCCTTTTTCTCCCCAATTTCGTGATATCCAATTGGTAGTTACAGTCTTGTCTCATCGCTGCAACTCCCCTACGGACTCGGGAGAGGCGAAGGTCGAGAGCCATGCATCCTCCGAAACATGCTTCTTGACACACTGCTCGCTTAACCTGGAAGCCAGCTGCATCAATGTGTTTTGGAGGAAACACCGTCCAGCTGGCGACCGAAGTCAGCTTGCATGCGACGTTCCCGTCACAAGGAGTCGCTAGAGCGTGATGGGACAAGGAAATCCCGGCTGGCCAAACCCTCCCCTAACCTTGACGACGCTGGGCCAATTGTGCTTCGCCTCATGGGTCTCCTTGATCAAATGATTGATTGATTGATTTGTTATGATGAACTGCATTAATTGAATACATGTTCGTGATGAACATCTGAGGGTGGAAATTCTTTACTATCATGGCCCAATGTCTTAATGTTGGTTAAATAAGATAGATATGGAGCCACCCACAAACATCCTTAGACCCACAAACAAACAGACACATACTTGTATGTGCTATTTTAATATTTGATACCATAGATAAATAAAACGTTGTTGTTTTTTTCTCCAGGGAGACTGGGCGTGGCTGAAGAGACTACCTCATGGAACATTCAGGAACATCAACCCCAAAACCAGTGACGTGTTTGAACTGGTGGGTTTCCTTTAGAAATACCTATTTATTAATGTTTATTCATATCCTTGGGTATAGTTTTTAAAAATGTATTATTTGAGAAAATTATATCAGTGATGCTGTTCTGTTGTTGCTGTACTTTCAGTAGTTCTCCACACTGTGGCAAATACGATATCATATCGATACAATTCCTTCTTCAATCTGCACTGACCCTCTAACCTCTAACCCCCGACCCTCCCCCAGATGAAGGACATGCGTCACGAGAACATTAACCTTTTCCTGGGTTTCTTCCATGACTGTGGAGTGTTTGCCATCGTAACCGAGTTCTGCACCAGGGGAAGCATGGAAGACCTACTGCTCAACGATGATGTCAAACTGGACTGGATGTTCAAGTCATCACTACTGCTGGACCTTATTAAGGTAGGGAGGGAGGGAGGGAGGGAGGGAGGGAGGGAGGGAGGAGAGGAAGGGAGAGATGGATGTTCAAGTCATCTCTACTATTAGACCTTATTAACGTGAGGAGAGGAAGGGAGAGATTTGAAAGTGCCTCAGCCAAAGGGAAGGAGGGAGGAAGAGGAGGAGGAGGAGGGGGGGGGGGGGGATGAGGAGGAGGAGGAGGAGGGGGAGGGCGGGAGGAGGAGAAGGAGGAGGGGCGGGGGGGAGGAGGAGGAGGCGGAGGAGGCTGAAGTGAATGAGGGTAAGGATGGAGAGCATGCCTGGGTTTCATGCTTATCTCCAGTGTTCTGTCTCTGAGTTCTATGTTCTGTGTTCTCCCCCAGGGTATGAAGTACCTGCACCACAGGAACTTGTATCACGGTCGTCTGAAGAGCAGGAACTGTGTGGTGGACGGACGCTTCGTCCTGAAGATCTCTGACTACGGATACAACGAGGTTCTAGAGGCAGCAAAGTTCCCCTACACAGCAACCATCCTTGCATAGAGAGGGTGAGTAGGTCTGGAGAGGAGTGGAGAGAGTTTTGCCTTGAGTCTGGACAGAGCTTTGTCTGGACAGAGTTTTATCTGGACAGGGTTTCATCTGGACATGGTTCCGTCTAGACAGAGTTCAGTCTGTACAGGGTTTCGTCTGGACAGGGTTCCGTCTGGACAGGGTTCCGTCTGGACAGGGTTCCATCTGGACAGGGTTCCGTCTGGACAGGGTTCCGTCTGGACAGGGTTCCGTCTGGACAGGGTTCAGTATGGACAGGGTTCCGTCTGGACAGGGTTCCGTCTGGACAGGGTTCTGTCTAGACAGGGTTCCATCTGATAAAAAAAGTGTATATAACTGTAGTGTGTTTATGTACAGTATGTGTTTCTTTGTTTGTTTCTCTTCGTGTGTGTGTGTGTGTGTGTGTGTGTGTGTGTGTCCCTCCCTCCCTCCCTCCCTCCTAGACCTGTTGTGGACTGCCCCTGAGATCCTGCGGGGCCCCTCCCCCGGTCTCTACGGCAGTCTCCATGGAGACGTGTACAGCTTCGCCATCATCATGCAGGAAGTGGTCATGAGAGGCCCGCCTTTCTACATGCTGGAGCACTCTGCTGCAGGTAAGAGACTACATTACACAGAGTACACCTGTACTACAGGTAACAGGAAGTGGTGATGAGGGGGCCCACCTTTCTAGCATGCTGGAGCAGTCTGCTGCAGGGAAGAGACTTCATGGTAACACTTTATTTGGATAGTCCATCAGTCTTTCGGTAAGACCTGTCCCTCTCCATTAGATGTCTCTGCCATTGTGAGACAATAAAGTTGTGATTTGAATTGAATATGACTGGCTCTACCTAACTGTCTATCTGTGATTCCTCACATTATATCTCATCGCCTCCCATCTCAACCATATTGGAGGAGAAGATCCAAGGTCCCTCCCCTCAAACCTTCTTCTCCAATGAGTTTTGAGGAGGAATTGAGGAAAGATTAATTTACCTGAATAGTCCTCTGACCCCTGCCCTCTGACCCCTGTCCTCCAGAGTTGATCCAGAAGATCCGTAAGCCCCCTCCTCTGTGTCGTCCGGTGGTCTCCCCTGACTACGCCCCTATGGAGTGTATACAGCTGATGAAACAGTGTTGGAACGAAGAGCCAGACAGACGGCCATGCTTCGACCAGATCTTTGACCTGGTACAGGGGGTGGGGGTGTGTTATGCAATGCCTTCAAATCTGTGTGTGTGTTTCAGAAACTCAAATGCTCTCTCTCTCTCTCTCTCTTCTCTCTCTCTTCTCTCTTCGAGAGAGAGAGAGAGAGAGAGAGAGGGACGGGCGAGAGCGAGAGAGAGAGGAGAGAGAGAGCAGAAGAGAAGCAGAGGAGAGAGAGCGAGGAAGAGAGAGAGAGGGGAGAGAGAGAGAGAGAGAGAGGGGAGGAAGGAGCAGAGAGAGGACGGAGAGGAAAAAAAAAGAGGAGAGAAAAAAAAGAGGGAGAGAGAGAGGGAGAGAACAAAGAGAAGAATAAAAAAGAGAGAAAATAAAAGAGGGAAGAAAAGAGAGAAGAGAAGAGAGAAAGCATCTCTCACCTCCACACCCCCCTCTATTCGCTCTCCCCCTCTGTCTCCAGTTAAGAACATCACAAGGGGAGGAAGGCCAACATCATAGACTCCATGCTTGAGGGATGCTGAGCGTATCCTCTAACCTGGAGGAGCTGATCAGAGAGAGGACGGGAGCTGGAGATAGAGAAAAAGAAGACGGAGAAACTACTCACCAGATGTGCAACCGTAAGTAACACACACACGACCCGCACACACGCAACACGCATGCACACCACCACACACACACACACTGGAGGAACTGATCAGAGAGAGGACAGAGGAGCTGGAGATAGAGAAACAGAAGACGGAGAAACTACTCACTCAGATGCTGCCACCGTAAGTACACACACACAGACACGCACGCACACACACACACGCACACGCATGCACACACACACACACACACACTGGAGGAACTGATCAGAGAGAGGACAGAGGAGCTGGAAACAGAGAAACAGAAGAATGAGAAACTAGTAACTCACAACACACACACACACATACACCCCCCCACACACACACTCCCTCTCTGTCCTAGGACGGTTGCGAATGCCCTGAAGGTGGGTGGTACTGTGGAACCGGAGTACTTTGACAACGTGACGCTGTACTTCAGTGACATCGTTGGCTTCACCACCATCTCAGCCAATAGCGAGCCCATCGAGGTGGTTGACCTTCTGAACGACCTCTACACGCTGTTTGATGCATCATGGCACCATGATGTAGATAAGGTAGAGAGAGAGGAGAGGGATGAGGTCGACGAGTCGGACGAGAGGCGGGGAGAGAGAGAGAGAGGAGCGAAGGAGAAGAGGAAGATAGAGAGAGGAAGGAGAGGAGAAGGACGAGGAGAGAGAGAGGAGAGAGAGAGAGAGGATGAGACTGGAAAATGGACTCTGCGTAGACGTGTTTGTTATGAGACGGGTTGATCTAGTTGTAGTTGATAGCAACAGACGACCTAGCCCCCCCACCCATACTTCATTTCTTTCCCCCCTTGAGTGGTGAGGAGAGTCTGTCGACGCAGATGGAAGAGGAGCTGAGAGAAACGCTGGAAGAAGAGAGGACGACGGAGAAAGGCACAGCGAGGGCGAGAGAACGGAGCATAGACGAGCGAGAAGGAGAGGGAGACAGAGCGGAGGGATTTAGGAATGGAGAGATGGAGAGATGCACATACGAGAGGGAGAATCGATTTCGAAGTGGAGAGGCAGAGTGGACGAGACCGAAAGAGAGAGACGAGATCGAGAGAACGAATTCGAAGGAAGACGAGATGAGCTGGCCAGGGAACAGGAGTATAACAGAGAGGAAGAACCGAACGCAGGAACCGAAAGGGAGGAGGATGACGGAAAGAGAGAAGGAGAAGAGGAGAAGAGGCGGAGAGAGAGATTCAGAGGTAAGGAGAGGAGAGAGAGGACGCCGAGATATGAGTGGCGGGAGTGAGAGAGAGACGGATAGTCACCAAATGAGAGTGAGAGAGAGGGGAGAATCGCCAGACGCGGCGAGATGAAGGGGGAGAGAGCTTGATGAGAGAGAGAGAGAGAGAGAGAGAGAGAGAGAGAGAGATGAGAGACGAGAGAGGCCGAGAGGAGCAGCTAGTGAGACGATTTTCGAGTTCTCAGCATCTCTCTCGAGAAGATCTCTGCTTCATGCCTCGTTCTGACTCTATGCAGATTAAGTTCGATAAAGCGAATCTCGCTAATTCCGGGCTTACAATCATGCGACTGCATCTGCTGACTCCTCTGTCTACTATCTCCTCTGAGCTGACCTGACGCGGGACGATCTGAGTCTCTCTAGTACTCTCCTGACTCGTCATCTCGTCTCTCTGCTCTCTCCTTCTCTAGCACTCTTCCTCGTCTACCCATTATAGTACATCTTTGTATTTTTTTTCCCCAACTTCTCTTATGAATTCCCTCCAATGAACATCTTTGCTAATTGCGTTTCTCCTTGTACTGAAACGCCCCCCTTCCCCCTATTTTGCTACCTCCGGTTGTTCTCATCGTATGAGGTTTCTCCGCAACCTTCTCCTTCCTGAACCCCCCGTCTAGATCCTTTTTTCAACCTTTCCCCCCTCCCCCCCTATCTGTCCCCCTCCTCGAACAGCCTTCCTCCTTCTGAACGAGACCTTCCCCATTCCCCCTCCTGCTTTTCCTTTGAGAGCGACGAGCAATTCTATTCTTTTTCGCTTAACCTTCCTCCCCGCCCGCGCCCCCTCCGCGATGAGCGCTAAGCACTTCGTACCAGAGTGGCGCCGACGATAGAGACCCGACTGCCCAGAACATCTTCCCTGACCGCCTCTATCTATGTTCGCTACCATCCGCCAAGAGCCCGAATGGAAGCCACGGAGACGCGCCGAATCGAGATGCCCCTAGCCAATAGAGACCCACAGATATCGCCACCTATCCCCCGCCCCAGACTAGGTCCCTGTGTACCCAGAGTTGCGACCGTCGACCGATACCTCCCAGAGACGGTAGTACGCGAGTATGCGGCAGTCAGCTAAGTAGGAGAAGACCGTAGCGATCCCAAGAGAGAGAGAACCAGCCCCATTACTTCAGACGTTCACACCGGCCCACAGTTGAGAAGCGCGCAAGCGAGCAGCACGAGACAGAACTGTCGAAGATTGTGCTTACCGATCGGATGACCAAGATCGGGCTGCGAAGCACCTCGAGGATCTGGAGCCAGAGGAACGAGGAGGGACGGATCAACCCGCCTCGGCCGCACGCTAAAGCAGTGCCCGATTGAGACGAGTGGGACTCTTACTGGGGTAGGATGACGATACCACCGAGAGAGAAGAGCCTGTCTTCTGTCTTGCTTACCATGTGCATGGAGGACGATGATGACCCCTCGGGTACACCGGAGAGACAGAGAGAGGCCCAGCCCGACCGACCGGCCCGTGAGCGAATTGTAGAGAGGGTACAAGCAGCTACCGAAAGAAGCACACACACAGCACCACCAACACAACCACAAAACCCCCTCTGACATGCACACCCGATCGTTCCTCACGCGACGCCCCCCAATAACCCCCCCGACCTCAGAAGACGAAGAAAGACGTCCGGCGAGCATGAGCTTGATCCCGAGAACGCCACGATGAACCCGCTCGTTCTGGACTATCGAGACACTGAGACAGTCCGTAGATGCATGTCACGAGAGAAGCAGCTGCATGTCGCAGGGGCCCGGATCTCTCACCCTCGGACCTTTCGAGGAATCGTGAGGCACGTCCGACGAGAAAGTATGGGAGCACTATGAACCGAGACCTGCAATAGAGAGAGCCGACTGGCTTAATATCGATATCGCGGACCTGAGACGTGCCCAGAAAAAGCAACTCTCTGACAGCGATTCTCGCACCGACACCTGAGACTACCGTTGGCCGAGACCGCAGAGGCATGATCTGGAATGACATGTCCTCCTAATGAGACGTTCACTACAGAGAGCCTCGCAGGCATGTGAGAGCACTGAGGAGTAGCATGGAGAAGCGTTGATACGGGAGATTGGCGCTCTACCAGACATGCGCAGCGTATTGTATACTACTGGACTCCGACAAGAGCAGGATGTGACGCCGAGTATGGAAGCGCGACTCGAAGTCCGCAGATGAGAGACATAGGACGAACTCGTTGGCGACTTTCTGACTGCCCCGGACCCTAGAAGCATTCGTGACCAGACAGAGTACAACGACGTGGCCAAGCTTGAACGACGCATTCGCGTCCTCTAGCGGTCGAGGACTCCGCTGCCGCATGGGCACCAGCCCAGAGATCCATTCCTGACTTATGACGAGACCGGTGTAGCATCCCAGCAGGTCCCCCCTCGCAGCATCATCCTCCGCGCAATTGAAGAGTCGATACAATGCCAGGAGCGCGACCCATTCCCCGCGCACACCGACCAGACCTAACGCGGCCCAGAAGGAACGAACGAACGATACTGACCGCCTCCCTGACCCCCCGAGGCTAGCAACCTCTTGCGAGTACTCGTTCATCTTCGCATGTGCCAAATTCGACCAGGCGTGGATGAGACGAGACGAGAGCGTACGACGACGCTAGACCTCAGAGCGAATTCTTCACGCGGAGCGAGACGCAGCCACAACGATGATCGTATCGAGACGGCCAGAGCTCGGACAGTAGTACCTTCGTAGAGGAAAGAATAAAGAACGCGAGAGCGATCCCACTTTTGACCGAACGACACGCTGTGCCCATGAGGAACACGGACGCGATGAAGTTCGACACCCCCTCCGAGAGTGGAGCCACTCATAAAAAGAGAGTCTCGCCTACGAGATCGAGCCCCCGTGAGGCAGACCGCCGCACCCAAATGGTAGAGATTTCCGGACTCTCGATGGGGACGAGATGCACGAGACGAGAGAAGGCACGAGGGGACGGCATTCGATTGAGACGCGGAAGTCGTGAAGAGAGGAGAGTCAGGGTCGCCCGACTGACTTATCGCGACCCAGCTGGCCCTTCTCTCGAGGACGAAACGCAGAGGACAGAGTGAGTTCGAACCTGTGCCCCCGCCTCGTAGAGAGCCGAGAGAACTGCACGCTAGAGAGAGAGAAGATTACCGAGATAGCAGAGAGGGAAATACATTATTTTAAGAGATGAGACGAGAGGCAGGGCGAGCACGGAGAGCGAAAACCCCGAGAAGCTAGATGAAGACCGATCCGAGCGCAGTGACTACTCTAGCACCGAGCTACGAGGATAATGAAAACGTGGAGATCGGAGGCGGCCTGACTAGCCACCCGAATGAGCAGGAATCGAGTTCAGAGTGTTAGCTACGATGAGAGAGAGACTCCCGAGACGACGTCCGCCGTCCAGCCTTAGCTGCACAGCTAGACGACAGACACGGGAATAGCTAGAGCAATCTTGAGAGGCCGTACGACTATCTGACTGCGCCTCGGATACCGGAAGAGTAGAACGGAAATGAGAAGACAGTATGAAGGAGAGAAGAGCAGACGCCGCCGGCCCCTCGGGACGTAATACGCGCAGGACCCCGAAGTTAGCTCGAACCGAGCACGTTCGAACGGAGCATCCTGCCTTTTTGGCAGTCCCCAGAGTGCCGCGCAAACTGACCCGGGGAGCGACAGCTGTTAGCCTCCGCAGCACGTGGAACTACGGAGTAGCAGGGAAGTAACCCTGAGAGCGATGGGGATGGATAGCTACGAATTCCGGCGGACAAGCGACTGAGGTTACACCGAGAGGAGCATGCGAAGAGGGCAGTGGAACCGCCAGAAGCCGGGATGGCGCGAAGAGGGAGCAATCCCGATTCACCTCTCCGTCGAGAAGGAGGGAGCAGGACGGAATCTCGCGACTGAGGACGCACTGAGAGAATGAGACACGATCCCCAGGGAAGCAGACGAAGCCGGACAACAAGAAGCAGCAGCAGAGAGCTAACTCCGGACACGATGCATACGAGAGAGTGACGTGAGAGATGGAGGGAGGCATCTCGCCAGAACGGGGATGCGTGGAGGCACACGCAGGCGGAGAGAGGGAGAGGCGCTAGGAGAGAAGGGTACGGGGGCGGCAGGAGACTGTTGAGAGGAGAGTGGGAGAGTGAGAGGAGAGGGAGAGAGGAGAGTGGAGATAGAGAGAGAGAGAGGCGGGGCAGCGAGAGAGAGAGAGAGAGGCAGCAGGAGGACTGAACCGTCACGATGAGGATACATTTTTTTCTTCTTCTTCTCTTTTTGGTAGAGAGGGAGAGGGAGAGAGAGAGAGAGAGTGAGACGAGAGAGAGAGAGGAGGAGGAGAGGAGAGAGAGATGCGAGAGAGGATGAACGAGAGAGGACGAGACGCGAGAGAGAGACCCGAGAAGAGGAGAGCGGAGAGAGATAGAGAGAGAGAGAGAGAGAGAGCAGAGAGAGAGAGAGTGGGTGAGAGCGAGAGAGTGAGAGTGAGAGTGAGAGCGAGAGAATGTGCACATACAAGTAACTGTGGTGAACCACACTTTAATCACACAATGACATTTAGCAGTGCCCTAGAACTAAGAATCTGGAGCAAAGATACTACCTAGTACTTACAGTGCCCTGATTGGCTTTGGTCTGCCCAGTACATTTACCTTTCTATACAGTACCAGTCAAACGTTTGGACACACCTACTCATTCCAGGGTTTTTCTTTATTTTTACTATTTTCTACATTGTAGAATAATAGTGAAGACATCAACACTATGAAATAACACATATGGAATCATGTAGTAACCAAAAAAAGTGTTAAACAAATCAAAATATATTTTATATTTGAGATTCTTCAAATAGCCACCCTTTGCCTTGATGACAGCTTTGCACACTCTTGGCATTCTCACAACCAGCTTCATGAGGTAGTCTCCTGGAATGCATTTCAATTAACAGGTGTGCCTTGTTAAAAGTTAATTTGTGGAATTTCTTTCCTTCTTAATGTGTTTGAGCCAATCAGTTGTGTTGTGACAAGGTATGGGTGGTACCCTTGTAACGCCAATGTAGTGGGTTCGATCCCCGGGACCACCCATACACAAAAAAAAAAAACGCATGACTGTAAGTCGCTTTGGATAAAAGCGTCTGCTAAATGGCATATTATATTATATTATTATACAGAAGATAGCCCTATTTGGGAAAAGACCAAGTACATATTATGACAAAAACAGCTCAGATAAGCATAGAGAAACGACAGTCCATCATTACTTTAATACATGAAGGTCAGTCAATACGGAACATTTCAAGAACTTTCAAAGTTTCTTCAAGTGCAGTAGCAAAAACTATCAAGCGCTATGATGAAACTGGCTCTCATGAGTACCGCCACAGGAAAGGAAGACCCAGAGTTACCTCTGCTGCAGAGGATAAGTTCATTAGAATTAACAGCACCTCAGATTGCAGCCCAAATAAATGCTTCAAAGAGTTCAAGTAACAGACACATCTCAACATCATCTATTCAGAGGAGACTGCGTGAATCACGCCTTCATGGTCGAATTGCTGCAAAGAAACCACTACTAAAGGACACCAATAATAAGAAGAGACTTGCTTGGGCCAAGAAATACGAGCAATGGACATTAGACTGGTGGAAATCTGTCCTTTGGTCTGATGAGTCCAAATTAGAGATTTTTGGTTCCAACCGCCATGTCTTTGTTAGACGAAGAGTAAGTGAACTGATGGTCTCCGCATGTGTGGTTCCCACCGTGAAGCATGGAGGAGGAGGTGTGATGGTGTGGGGGTGCTTTGCTGGTGACACTGTGATTCATTTAGAATTCAAGGCACATTTAACCAACATGGCTACCACAGCATTCTGCAGCGATACGCCATCCCATCTAGTTTGCGCTTAGTGGAACTATCATTTGTTTTTCAACAAGACAATGACCCAAAACACACCTCCAGGCTGTGTAAGGGCTATTTGACCAAGAAGGAGGGTGATGGAGTGCTGCATCAGATGACCTGGCCTCCACAATCACCCGACCTCAACCCAATTGAGATGGTTTGGGATGAGTTGGACCGCATAGTGAAGGAAAAGCAGCCAACAAGTGCTCAGAATATGTGGGAACTCCTTCAAGACTGTTGGAAAAGCATTCCTCATGAAGCCGGTTGAGAGAATGCCAAGGGTGTGCAAAGCTGTAATCAAGGCAAATGGTGGCAACTTTGAAGAATCTCAAATATAAAATATATTTTTATTTATTTAACACTTTTTGGGTTACTACATGATTCCATATGTGTTATTTCATAGTTTTGATGTCTTCACTATTATACTACAATGTAGAAAATAGTAAAAATAAAGAAAAACCCTTGAATGAGTAGGTGTGTCCAAACTTTTGACTGGTGCTTTATATATACTGTATATATCACCTGAAGTTAATTGACTAATCAAAATGTTACCTACCTGTCCTCCTCTCTACCCATAGGTGGAGACGATAGGCGACGCCTACATGGTGGCGTCAGGGTTACCGGTTGCCAACGGAGATCGTCACGCGGCAGAGATATCCAACATGGCGCTAGACATCCTCAGTGCTGTGGGCACCTTCAAGATGAGACACATGCCTGACGTACCTGTACGAATACGCATAGGACTACACTCAGGTGAGAGATACAGGGGGTACACACTCATACATATGAACGCACACGCGCACAAACACAAAGCGCCTCATCTATCTATTGTGTGTGTGTCTTATAGGTCCGTGTGTGGCAGGGGGTGGTGGGACTGACCATGCCTAGATACTGTCTGTTCGGAGACACAGTCACCACAGCCTCTCGTATGGAGTCCACTGGGATGCGTAAGTTATAGTACACGATGCACGAGTGCGTTCGGAAAGAATTCAGACCCCTTGACTTTTTCCTGTATTTTGGGAGTTTCTCCTATTCTTCTCTGCAGATCCTCTCAAGCTCTGTCAGCTTGGATGGGGAGCGTTACTGCACAGCTATTTTCAGGTCTCTCCAGAGATGTTAGATCGGGTTCAAGTCCGGACTCTGGCTGGGCCACTCAAGAACATTCAGAGACTTGTCCCGAAGCCACTCCTGCGTTGTCTTGGCTGTGTGCTTAGGGTCGTTGTCCTGTTGGAAGGTGAACCTTCGCCCCAGTCTGAGGTCCTGAACGCTCTGGAGTAGGTTGTCATCAAGGATCAATCTGTACTTTGCTCCGTTCATCTTTCCCTCGATCCTGACTAGTCTCCCAGTCCCTGCCGCTCAACAAATCCCCACAGCATGATGCTGCCACCACCATGCTTCACCGTAGGGATGGTGCCAGGTTTCCTCCAGATGTGATGCTTGGCATTCAGGCCAAAGAGTTCAATCTTGGTTTCATCAGACCAGATAATCTTGTTTCTCATGGTCTGAGAGTCTTTAGGTGCCTTTTGGCAAACTCCAAGCGGGCTGTCACGTCATGTGCCTTTTACTGAGGAGTGGCTTCCGTCTGGCCACTCTACCATAAATGGGTTCTTCTTCCATTTAAGAATGATGGAGGCCACTGTGTTCTTGGGGACCTTCAATGCTGCAGAAATTTTTTGGTACCCTTCCCTAAATCTGTGCCCCGACACAATCCTGTCTCGGAGTGCTACGGACAATTCCTTCGACCTCATGGCTTGGTTTTTGCTCTGACATGCACTGTCAACTGTGGGACCTTATATAGACAGATGTGTGCCTTTCCAAATCATGTCCACAAGTGGACTCCAATCAAGTTGTAGAAACATCTCAAGGATGATCAATGGAAACAGGATGCACCTGAGCTGAATTTCGAGTCTCATAGCAAAGGGTCTGAATACGTATGTAAATATGTAAATTTCAAAAAACCTGTTTTTGCTTTGTCATTATGGGGTATTGATGAGGAAATTTATTTTATTTTATCCATTTTAGAAAAAGGCTGTAACGTATCAAAAAGTGGAAAAGGTCAAGGGGTCTGAATACTTTCCGAAAGCACTGTATCTGCACTGTTCTAGCTTAAGTTGATTCTGAAGAAGTAAAGGACTTGTTGTTGTGCATCAAAGAGACATCAAGCTTCTCTAGAGAGTGTCTATGTGAACTTGACTTTGTGAGTGTCCTGCCGCCTGTATTTGCAGCATACAGAATCCATGTCCATAACAGCACAGTTAAAATCCTGCTGGAACTCAAGGCAGGATACAAGGTGCAACTGAGAGGCAGGACTGACCTGAAGGTAAGAGACAAAAGACTGAATATCCCTGGGAACACCATCATGTTGCATACAGTAAGCTAGAACTAGAATAACTACCAAGAACACTCCCTAGAACTACCAAGAACTCTCTAGAACTCCTTAGAACTCCATAGAACTCCCTAGAATTCCTTTAGAACTCCCTGGAACTCCCTAGAACTCCACACTGAACTCTCTGTCTCTCACTCTCTCTCGTCTTTCTCTGCCCTGTCTCACTCTGTCCTCTCACTGTCCTTTCCTCCTCTACTCTCTACTCTCCACAGGGAAAAGGGGGAACAGAGGAGACCTACTGGCTTATAGGGAAGGACAACTTTGAGAAACCTCTCCCCGTCCCCCCCGAATTCAAGAAAGGGTAAGGAACGGCTTCATCCCTTCCCTCCCCTGTCTCTCCTCCACTGTCTGTGTCTTTTCTTGTTGATCCTGCCTCTGTGTCCGATTCGTTTTCACAGGCAAATGGCTCATGGCCTGCAGGTGGAGGAGATAGCGAGGTACAAGAAGAAAAAAGCTGAGAAACTGCAACAGCTTACAAAGAAGAATAACTGAATTACATAAGGTAATGTTATGCATGGAAAATGTATAACATTACTTGTTTGGTGACGTTTTTACTTGCTGTAGTTTGGGACTTGCCAGGCGGTCATTGTACATAATAATTTGTTCTTAACTGACTTGCCTGGTTAGATAAAGGTTAAATAAATGAAAACTCAATCAAACTTAGGACAAACATTTTTTTGTTTGGTTTACCACCCAACACCATTCATATTCATTTGTTGGTCACTGATCAAATCAGTTCTTCTACTTTACAAGTTTAAGGCCGGGATTCAATCAAAGGTGCGTTTTTCTACAATGCACTTTTGATTCAATCCCGGCCTAAGTTTCACTTGTAAACAGTGATATGTGAAAATTTGATTATGAGTATTTCAATATAATTTTAGCTAATCTACTGGTATGAGAGCACCATTGTGTTTTTTAATAGAGCAACAAATCCTGATCCTATCATAACTACCCCTGGGAGGGCAGATATCTTGATACATCTGGGACACGTACCTACCATGTAGTTACTATGTTATGTGAGCTGGGACAGGTAGATACTATATAGTTAATATGTAATGTGAGGTCGGACAGGTAGATACTATATAGTTCATATGTAATGTGAGGTCGGACAGGTAGATACTATATAGTTCATATGTAATGTGAGGTCGGACAGGTAGATACCATACAGTTCATATGTAATGTGAGGTCGGACAGGTAGATACTATATAGTTAATATGTAATGTGAGCTGGGACAGGTAGATACCATACAGTTCATATGTTATGTGAGCTGGGACAGGTAGATACTATATAGTTCATATGTAATGTGAGCTGGGACAGGTAGATACCATACAGTTCATATGTTATGTGACCTGGGACAGGTAGATACCATACAGTTCATATGTTATGTGAGCTGGGACAGGTAGATACCATACAGTTCATATGTTATGTGAGCTGCCTAGATAGACTGCTGCCTACAGTGTGGAATCCCTGTTATGTTGTTGTTTGTACTGTATGTTACACTGTCTATGTATGTTGTATGTTGTCTATGTTCTTCCCTTTAGTTTTGTTCCTGAAAACTCACTAACTTTCGTGTAGTAGTTACATATTTATAATTTTTCTAAATGCCCATTTGATACCAATACCATTATAATGTCTGTATCACTTTCAACAGAGTTGGTGTTTCATGAAACATGTATGAACCCTGAACTGGGTCCACAGTACTGCTTCTCCCTGGTAGTTCATTGATTTATTCTTCAATGTCACCAATTGACCAGTGAGTCTACTCGTTGGTGTCCCAGGTCTGAATCTGACAAGCAGTACTGTGGCTGGACATGGAGGCCTGGAACTGACTGACCCCTAGTGTAAGCCACGTTAGGACTAACTCTCTCTCTCTCTTTTGTATTATGTGTGTTCCAGGTCTGCCCAGCAGATCAACAAGGACTTCAAGCGGCTCCTCCAGAAGGCCGTGAAGAAAATCTCCACTGTCAGAACGGTGGCTATGATCACAATGGTGGACGACGACAACGTCATGATGCACCACCACTGACCAATCAGACTTCATGATGCACCACCACTGACCTTTGACCGGTCTTTCAGACTGATTCTGTGTCCATTTTGAGCCTCGGATCCTTACTATCTCTCCATGGTCAACGAAGAGGGAACAGCAGGAAGGAAGAGGATCTAGTGACAAGTTTGTGTCTGCAAGTTATTGGTGAATATTCAGAAAGGGGCGCTTACAAGTGTCTGGTCATGCATTGCCCAAGCAACGGTGTGTGTGTGTGCGTGCGTGCGCCTGCATCTGCATGTGTGTGTGTGTGAGATGGGGGAGGGACGTGAAATGATGTGCTGTGTAGAGATTACTGCAGCTCGTTTTAAATATGAAGCATCTTGCCAGATGGTAGGACGATGAGTCACCTGAGCCAGGGACTATTATTAGGACTGCATTACGCATTATAAACTGGGTGGTTCGAGCCCTAAATGCTGATTGGCTGACAGCCGTGGTATATCAGACCGTATACCACGGGTATGACAAAACATGTATTTGTACTGCTCTAATTACGTTGGTAACCAGTTTATAATAGCAATAAGGCACCTCGGGGGTTTGTGGTATATGGCCAATATATCACGGCTAAGGGCTGTGTCCAGGCACTCTGTGTTGCGCTGTGCTTAAGAACAGCCCTTAGCCGTGGTATATTGGCCATATACCACACCCCCTCGTGCCTTATTGCTTAAGTAAACCACGGATCGGATCTGTCAGGAGATGAACGCTTTGCTCAAACCTTTCCTGCTTCCTGCTTTCTTCTCCTCCTTTCCTCCTTCTAATCCTCCTCTCTTCCTGACCAAACAGTCTCTCATGAGCGTCATGTTCCCTGCATCCACACGTTTCGAGGAAGCACACTGTCCATCTGCTGACTTACTGAAACGCAAGCTTTGCTTTTTTAGCTTTGGTGTGTTGTGTTGTGTTATGGTGATGTTCTTTAATGTAAACCTCAGACTCTTCTAGGAAAACTCTCCTGGATTTTGTATTTGTCACATCCGCCGAATACAACAGGTGTAGGCTTTACTGTGATATGCTTACTTATGAGCCCTTTCCCAACAATGAGGTGCAAAAAACAAAAGTGATGGGTCGCTACAGGTGTAAAAATCAAGTCCCCGCATAAGTGATACGTTTCTGTAACATGTATAGCACATCTGTGAAATCACTCACAAAAGACTTTAGGTTTTTAAATGAATTTGTAAATTCGTGGGGCCTAGAAGGGGCTGTTATGTATAGGATGTGCTTTTGTATGTGAGAGACAATCCATCAAATATCACCTGTAGGACTTCTCTGATTCCTGTACGGATGTCTTTCTG